TGTGGGTGGGCGTGGGTGAGCGTGGTTGGGTGGGTGTGCAGGGGTGGGTGTGTGGGGTGGGTGTGTGGGTGCATGTATATGTCTTGGTGTGACTTCAAATCCTCAGCGACCAAGCTTCACATCAAGACCACAAAAAATGCCAAAGTAAGGAAAGAGTAGAAAGAACTGAGTGTGCTATTTTTATGATTGTAAGGTAAATGTACTCGTCTGGGTGGAAATTGTTTGTTGTGGTGACAGTCACACACACACACACACACACACACACACACACACACACACACACACGTTCATCCTCCTGATGAGTTGGTGAAAGTGCGACGGAACGGTCTGGCGCAGTCAATGCTTTTTTTGGTGTGGTGTATGGCGAACGTGATAACACACATGCCGGTGAAAATCCAACGAAACAGTATGGCACAGTCATGCTTTTTTTTTGTGGAGTTGTGTAGCGCACATGGCAACACACACACGCACACACACGCACACACGCACACACACACGTGCACACACACGCACACACGCACACACACACGTGCACACGCACACACACACACACACACACACACACACACACACACACGCACACACACATGCACGCACATGCACACACACACACTCACACACACATGCTTTGATTTGGATCTATTCATCTGGGTGGAACAGGGGTTGTTTTGGTGAATTTCTACAACACACACATGCACGTGCGCACACAGTCACACTGAAGAGGAAGTGCAGCCCAATTGTACTGGTGGCCCACGAGAAAGAGTTCTGATTCTCTGAATGATCCAGCTGAGCACAGGGCAAATCATTTGCTGCCCCCTCCCTCAACTCATTCTCCTCCTGCTGATTCCATGCCCTCACCACCACCCCCCTCGCCGGCATCTTCTAGTACATCCTCCCCTCCGTCTGCTGCCTCACCTTGCTTCGTCCTCCTACTACGCCTCTTCGTCATTGTCTTCGCCATCAACACATTCAGACCAGTTGTCACAGAATCCCTCTTTAGTGCAGATGTTCCCTATCTCCACCGCAGTCTCCCAGGCAGTGGTCTCCTTTGTCACATGAGCGGCATGATCATCGTACCATTGCATAATGGGGTCGAGTATTGTGAACAGTCAGAGATACACTCCCAATACTCAGACCCCATTATGTGGGCAAGCTAAGAGTACACAATGTTGTCGCTCCCAATACATGCGAGCCAAGGAACAGCACATGTCGAGTCCGCTGTCGAAAAATGCGGTGCCGAGGGCCTGCGTGCCATGCACGAGGTGCAGCCAGCTGTGCAGCCTTTCCACAACTGCAGTAGTAGCCAGTCTAAACCACCAGTACCTTTCCCAGGATGAAAAACAAATGTGCGGCTCGTTTACGGCCATTGTTTTTGGGGGGTCCGGATGTGTACGGCACTGAAATGGCTGACAGCGCTAGCCAAAATTAGGGCCGAAGTATGCGGCGTGTTGACCCACCAGTACTTTTCCCTGCCATTTTTCTGGGTTGCAGCGGTGCACGCACCGTCCAACTTCTCCGGGCCACAGCCTACCAGAGGGACATGGCTTGCAGCCCCAGCCAAACACGAAAATGAGCCGCTTGGTTCTGTTTCGGCGTATGTTGGGAAATCCGCTTCGCCAAAAGGAAGCCTCCCAAGTCCTGGTGGTTTAACCGCCGTGCGTCAGAACGACAGGATTTCTGGTGCTTTAACAGGCCTGCCCTGCCACTCTTTGGACGTACGGGCCTGCCTGGGCCCGGTTAAATCCATTCATAATGAAAAGAAACTGCCAGCGGTCTGCCGAAGAGTGTAACTGAGTCGTGGAAGAAACAGAAAGTCAGGGTGGTTTTTTTTTTTTTTTTTTTTTTTTTTTTTTTACAATGACCAGCTGGCGCAGCTCTGTTGGTACACCCCAAAATTGTTGAAATGCAGACCTGAGTTCAACACTCCACGGAGAGCAGATGGCGAAAATACTACAATTCCGGACGACCAAGCAGGCTGGCTCAGTTAGTTGAGCACATAAGTGGTATTCAGGAGGTCGGGGGTTCGATTCCCCCACGTCGTCCTGTCCATTCGGTCCCCCACGGCCCCCTGTGATGCGCTTCGGGGGTTCACCAGCGGAGATATTTGGCTTGGGCCTCCTGGCTGGTTGTGGAAGTTTGTTAGGCTCCCCCAGCTCATGCCTCAGGTGTTAGGAGTCGGGGTACTGCTCCCCGGATAGAGCAGAGTAGGCTGGGAAGGCTGGAAACTCGACCCATAACCTTGAGCATCCTCTGGGAAAAAAAGCTGGAGATATATAGTGTAAGTAGGTAGGTAGAGTGAGGTATATGACTGAAGAGTATAGATTAGTGATCATTAGTCACATTATTTAGTTAAAAAAAAAAAAAAAAAAAAAAAAAACCCGGGTTGGTCGGCTTGATAATGAAACTCGGTTTCTCTCTCTCTCTCTCTCCTAAGAAAATAGTAAAATGACATGTTGAAGCTGAGGAAAATGCAGATTCCAGGTCGATAAGCGAAACAAAGGAGGATGATTCAAGTAAAATCCTCAGGCAGATTCCAGGTCCATAAGCGACAAAGGAGGATGATTCAAGTAAAATCCTAAGTAGCTAACCGTCTGATCTACGGTGATGATGATGATGATGATGATGATGATGATGATGGTGAGGATGAGGATGAGGACGATGTTGATGATGATGATAATAGGTAGGGATTCTCTTCCTCTTCCCTCGCTATTCCTTCTCGCCCCTTGTTGCCTCCGCTGAAATGAACCGCCCTGACGAGTAGTCCTTCACAACCCCAATTTGGGACAGACCCACTATGACCCTACTGGCCAATAGGTCATACTACGGTTCCCCCTACAGTATGTCCTAATCTGCCCCTTGTTCTGATCTGCCACCGCTGGATTGTTTCCAGCCGCAGATTAGCACAACCCTCAATCAACTTCCAACCCTCGCAGAGCAACACTTCCCACCTCGAGCTGCCCTTACGGAGTTTCAGTCTTCCCCCGCCTTACGTGCTTACCTTCTCTCTTATTGCGATGAAAAAGCAATCAGAGGATAATTTTGGAAAACTTGGCCAGTAGACACTCCTGATGATGGTGATGATGATGATGATGATGATGATACATGATGATGATTCGACTTCCCCTGCCCTCCCCTGCCTCTTTCCCCATCCTCCTCTCCTCCTC